CCTTGCCGAGAAGCGCGCCGATGAAATAGGGCACCCAGCCGCTGAAGAACACGCCCACGGCGGAGTAGGCGAAACCGGTCCAGCCGCCGAAGACGGCCGCCGTTGCCAGGATCACGCCGTGGATCGGGAAGACCACCACGCCTGCGATCAGGAACGCCGCCACCACGACGGCCGGTGCCCACGGATGGCCGCGCGTCTCGGCGAGCCACGCGCCGATCTTGTCGGGTGTGACGATGCCCAGCGACCCGACGGCCCACCAGGCCGCGGCGATTCCGGTGATGACGATCAGAAGGGCTGCAACGGCGAGCAGGAAGCGAAGGCGCATGTCGGGCTGGATCGGCGCAGGGGCGGGTTACGGCTGGGAGCCGAAGACGAAGCGCTTGTCGAGGCGGTACTTCGCCCAGTAGCCGATGGCGAGGCCGATAACGCCGCCGACATATCGCATCGGTCGTCGTGTGGAACGTGTACCAGAAGGCCAGTTCCACCGCCCAGAAGATCGCCGTCGTCGCGACGCCCATGGCGGCATAGAGCAGGAAGGTCATGAAGTCGTGCGCGTGTGAGGCCGGCCGGTAGGAGAAGATCAGGCGCTTGTCCCAGGTGTACTTGATGATCAGGCCGACGCCCGTGCCCACGATCATCGAATAATAGAGGCCAGTCCCGCCCATAAGGCGCCAGACCACTTCCTGGCTTGCAACGTTTCCCAGCGTTGCAACCAGCGCTCCCGCCAAATATATGACAACCAGATTCATCGACTTCTGCAATATATACAGGTCACGGGATCAAGGGGGAATTACGTGGAGCCGCATCAGCCTCGGACATCGCGGCCGGCGCCACGCCCGATGAACAGGATTCTCCTCGATTTTCCTCTTCGCGCTGATCGGCGCCTGTCTTCTGTTCAAGGCCGCCGAGAGCGTCAATCGTATCCTGTCGACGGACCTGGTCGCGGTCGCTTTCGCCGAGGGTGGCGACGACGCCTACTACTACTTGACCATCGCGCGCAACGTCGCCCGGGGCGCCGGCATCACCATCGACGGGGTGGAGTGGACGTCGGGCATCCAGCCGCTCCGCACCATTGGCTACCTGGTTGATACCGACCGCGCCGCTTAAGTCCTGCTGAACATCTTCGACGAGCGTGCGCCGGCGTGGCGCCAGCGCTATGTCCCGGCCGGCAAGCTCGGCACGCTCGCGGTGTTCAAGCGCAAGCCGCAATAGGCTACTGCGGCCAGCCCAGCTCGATCTCGACGACGACCGGCTTGACCTGTCGCATGGCGCTGTCGGTCGACGAGAATTCGACGTCGCCGTTGACCTTGTCGAGCGCATCGCCGGGCGCGTCCTTCGGCGGATCGAAGCGCAGCGAGAGGTTGCAGCCGCCCACCGGCTTGTCGAGGCGTCCGCCGTCCCAGCTGTTGCTGTAGCCGCCGAGGTCCCAGCCGAAGCCGGTCAGTGTGAAGGGCTTGCCGTTCATGGTCTCGATCTCGGCGAGGGTCGCGCCATTGGCGACCGGCTTGTCGAGGCCCGCGACGGCGACCGGCCATGTCGAGCCGTTGCGGACGATCACCACGTTGGGGCGCGCATAGGCATCGTGCCAGAGGATGTCGATGCGCTTCTCGGGGTCCTTCGCGAAGATCGCGGTGCCGGGCTCCGTGTTGCCCTCGCCGACGGGAATGTTCGCGCGCTCGACGTTCTCCGCGCCAAAGACGCGGGCGAGGGTGCGTTCGTCGGCGTTGCGGGCAAAGGGGCCGGTGCAGTCCAGCACCGTCGGAGCCTGCGCCCGCGCGAGCGACGGCGTTGCGATGGCAAGGCACAGGAGACAGGCGACGCGCAGGGGAAGGGACATCTCGCTCTCGAACCGAGGATATCGCCTTCTAACACAAGACCCGGCGCGATGCCGGTTCTTGCGCAAGCCCGTCTATGGATTCAGATCGGCGGATTCAGATCGGCACGGCGCCGGCCACGTCGCCCCGCCCGCGCTCCAGCATACGGTGCGCAATCTCGGTCTCGCCCAGCACGATCAGGTTGGCGCCGAGCTTCTCGAAATGCTCGACCGGTCGC